ACTAGACTACTGGTTAGGATAGAAACTAGACTACTGGTTAGGATACAAACTAAACTACTGGTTAGGATACAAACTAAACTGTTGTTTAGAATACACACTAGACTACTGGTTAGGATAGAAACTAGACTACTGGTTACAGCACAAACTAGACTATTGGTTACAATACAAACTAGACTACTGGTTACAACACAAACTAGGCTTCTGGTTACAGTACAAACAAAACTGCTGGTTAGGATACAAACTAGACTACTGGTTATGAAACAAACTAGAATACCAGATACAATATAAAATAGACTACTGGTTACAATACAAACTAGACTACTAAACACAATAGAAATAAGGTTACTGGTTAAGATAAAAACTGGTTTCGAAGTCAAATTGTATACTTGATACAGTACAAGCTCAACTACTGTATACTAAATACAAACTGAATTACTGGTTACACCGCAAAATAGACTACTGGTTACAATACATCTAGACTACTGTTTAGAATACAGACTAGACTATTGGTTAAAATTCAGACTAGACTACTGGTTAGGATACAAACTAAACTACTGGTTACCATACAAACTAGACCACTGTTTGGAATACAGACTAGACTACTGGTTAGGATAAGGATACAAACTAAACTATTGTTTAGAATACAGACTAGACTACTGGATACAATACAAACTAGACTACTGGTTACAATCCAAGGTAGGCTGCTGATTACAACACAAACTAGGCTTCTGGTTACAATACAAGCTAGGCTACTGGATACTATACAAATTAGGCTACTGGTTAGGATAGAAACTAGACTACTGATTACAATACAAACTAGGCTACTGGTTACAATATAAGATAGGCTTCTGGTTACAATACAAGCTAGGCTACTGGTTACAGTACAAACTAGACTACTGGTTACAGTACAAACTAGACTACTGGTTAGGATACAAATTAGACTACTGGTTAGGATACAAACTAGACTACTGTTTAGGATACAAACTAGGCTTCTGATTACAATACAAGCTAGGCTACTGGATACAATACAAATTAGGCTACTGGTTACAGTACAAACTAAACTACTGGTTAGGATACAAACTACGCTACTGGTTACAAAACAACTTTTACTATTGGTTACAATACAAAATAGACTAATGGTTACTACACAAACTCTGCTACTGGTTATAATTACAAACTAGGCTACTGGTTACAAAAAAACCATGCTGCTGGTTACAATACAAGGTAGGCTGCTGGTTAGGACACAAACTAGGCTAGTCTATTTTGTATTGTAACCAGTAGTAAAGATTGTTTTGTATCCAGTATCCTAAACAGTAGTCTAGTTTGTATCCTAACCAGTAGTCTAGTTTGTATCCTAACCAGTAGTCTAGTTTGTATAGTAACCATTAGTCTATTTTATATTGTAACCAGTACAAACTAGGCTTCTGGTTACAATACAAGCTAGGCTACTGGATACAATACAAATTAGGATACAGGTTAGTATACAGACTAGGGTACTGGTTACAATACAAATTAGGCTACTGGATACAATACAAATTAGGCTACTGGTTACAGTACAAACTAAACTACTGGTTAGGATACAAACTACGCTACTGGTTACAAAACAACTTTTACTATTGGTTACAATACAAAATAGACTAATGGTTACTACACAAACTCTGCTCCTGGTTATAATACAAACTAGGCTACTGGTAACAAAATAAAACTAGGCTACTGGTTACAATAAAAACCAGGCTGCTGGTTACAAGGTAGGCTGCTGGTTATGACACAAACTAGGCTACTGGATACAAAACAATCTTTACTACTGGATACAAAACAAAATAGACTACTGGTTTTAATATAAAATAGACTAATGGTTACTATACAAACTCTACTACTGGTTATAATACAAACTAGGCTACTGGATACAATATAAAATAGACTAATGGTTACTATACAAACTACTTCTGGTTATAACACAAACTAGGCTACTGGTTGCAATACAAACTACTACTGGTTATAATATAAACTAGGCTACTGGTTACAATATAAAATAGACTAATGGTTACTATACAAACTACTACTGTTTACAATACAAACTAGGCTACTGGTTACAATACAAGCTAGGATCTTGGTTACAATACAAGGTAGGCTGCTGATTACAACACAAACTAGGCTACTGGATACAATTCAAATTAGGCTACTTGTTAGGATAGAAACTAGACTACTGGTTAGGATACAAACTAAACTATTGTTTAGAATATAGACTAAACTACTGTTTAGGATACAAACTAAACTGTTGTTTAGAATGCACACTAGACTACTGGTTAGGATACAAACAAAGCTACTGGATACAATGCAAACTAGACTACAACACAAACTAGGCTTCTGGTTACAATACAAGCTAGGCTACTGGATACAATACAAATTAGGCTACTTGTTAGGATAGAAACTAGACTACTGGTTAGGATACAAACTAAACTATTGTTTAGAATATAGACTAAACTACTGTTTAGGATACAAACTAAACTGTTGTTTAGAATGCACACTAGACTACTGGTTAGGATACAAACTGGGCTACTGGATACAATACAAATTAGGCTACTTGTTAGGATAGAAACTAGACTACTGGTTAGGATACAAACTGGGCTACTGGATACAATACAAATTAGGCTACTTGTTAGGATAGAAACTAGACTACTGGTTAGGATACAAACTGGGCTACTGGATACAAT